CCCGTCATCGGCCCCGGGGGCTGCGGCCGGGCCCGGGAGGGGGGCGAGCCTGGGCCCGTCCTGCGAGCCACAGGGGGGCCAGGGGAGAAGGGCAGGTGCATCCGGCCACCTGGGGCCATGCCTGCAGGGGGAATGAAAGTGCCCCCCAGCCCCGCGAGAGGGGAAGATGCTGCGGGACAGGGAGCGCTGGTGGCACCAGCTTTAGATCCACTCACTCACGTCTGGCGGGTGCTAGAGGGCGAGATCCTCAGGGCAGGGATCGCCATGCCACCTCCAGATCCCATGGGGGCAGGGGTCCCTGTGCCATCCCTGGGTCCTCAGGGGCAGGGATCCCATGCCACCTCCAAGTCCTTGGAGCAGGGATCGCCATGCCACCTCCAGATCCCAGGGGCGGGCAGGGGTCTCCGTACCATCCCTGGGTCGGGGGCAGGGATTGCCATGCAACCTCCGGGTCCTGGGGGGCAGGGATCCCCGTGCCACCCCTGGGTCCTCGGGGCAGGACCTCGCCATGCACACTGCGATGTGCTGTGCACGACTACGAAGGCCAAGGCCATGCCACCGCCATATGCTTATAGCCCACGCTCCTTGGAGCTGAGGACCGTCTCGCCAGCCCTGCACATGCAGTGCCTAGTGCCAAAGCGGGGGCCTAATCTCCGAGGTGGGACTGGAGCACCACGGCCCCCTGGGGAAACAGCTCTTCCCTCTCTTGCACAGGTGGGGAATGTGACAGGGCGAGCGATTGAGCCTGGTCGCACAGGAAGCAGAAGGCCCAGCAGGATCCTACCTCCAGCCTCCCAACCCCCAGATGTGGCCTCCCCTCCTCCCACCATAGGAAGCTGCCGCTGCAGATAACTGACCGTGGAGAGACCCGCCCCTAGCGTTTCCTCCCCTTGCCTGGAACAGGCCGTGGGCGTGAAGCTGGGAAGCAGGAGGAATAGATAGGGCAATAACCTGCTGCAAAAGAAAGGAGTAAGGACGAGGGCAAGGAGGGGATGTTCCCTTTCATCAGCCTTGCATTTTGTAAGGTGACTAAGGTGGGGATTTTGCAATAGCTAAAAGGAGGGAGGGAAAAGCGGCAGCTGAGAACCAACCTACAGCAGTCACCGAGGATCATACCTGCGCTACCCCAGGAAGGGTATTCTCATTAGCTTGTGCCCTTCAGGAGTGCCAGGCGCCTCTCTCTGCGTAAGCACGGTGCTGTCTTGGCCCCATGGGGCTTATGATCTAAGGAGATGAGGTAGATGGAGAGAGAGAGACACAAAGAGCAAAGGGTGGTACACGGGGTTTCACAGCACACCCCTTGCAATCTGTTCCTATCCCTCGCCCCCAGTGCCTCTCCCCTCCTGCCCTGCCCCCAAATACAGCCAAAGACTGAGACACAAAGAAAATAAAGCAGCCTGCGAGGTTGTGTCCATGTTAATGGAGCTGGGCTGCCTGTGGCTTCAGTCTCCCACAGCCCTCGTCCAGCCGGCTACCCTTCCCCGTGCCCCTCCCCGTGTACAGCTGGTTCTCTGGAGGGGTTGTGGCCCAGGCCCCCTGCTCTGGCCATCTGCTTTGCATTCCCATGCAGCTCTTGCCCTTGTTCTACAGGTGGGGAACGTAAAGGCTCCAATAAGTATGCAGGGAGCCGGCTCCGATGCAGCTGGAAATCCAGTGCGTCGGAGCAGACTTGATTATTTCCGTGCTCCAGCAGACTCGGTTAAACGCGCTCCAGCAGACTCTGCCATCATGTGTATTACTGCTTCTGCGCCCAAAAATGGCGGTGGGTGCTTTGAACTAAAGCTCATTTGACAAGCTCTAGTTCAAAGCACCCCGCTGCCATTTTTCAGCAAGGGGATGCTGATACATGTGACACTCGGGCACTTTAAGCGCTCGCTAATTAAAGCGCCCCGCTCCATGCCTCCTGGAGCAAGTGTCAAAATGCCCTATGGCAGGTGAGAGTAAATGATTTAGCTGTGGTCACCCAGGAGCTGGAAGGCACAGCAGGATCAGAGCCTCTCCTCCCTGGTGTCTCCTGGCCGGGGTCCTCCTTCCTCCTCCTACCAGAGGAATTGGAGCTGCAGATAACTGACTGCAGAGACACCCGCCTTTAACATTTACTGTCCTCGCTTGGAACAGAGCCTTCTTTAACATGTACTGCCCTTGCCTGGAACAGGCTGGGGGCGTGCAGCTGGGAAGCAGGGAGAGCTGGGGAGGGACCTCACCCACCTGCCTGAATCCTTCCTTGTTCAGAGCACACTGGCGGGGGGAAGAGCCAGGCAGCAGAGGTGCTCAAGTTCCCCGTCCTAAGGAGGGGAATAACCCGGGGCCCCATGACATCTCCTCTCCCTCTCACTAAAGAGCGAGTGGGCAGGAGGGGAAGGCCAGCTCCCCACTCCTCCAGCCCAGCCCCACTCCCACGCTGAAGGATCTCTGGCCTGCCGACATCTCGGTGAAGTGTGGGAACAGATGAGTGTGATGGGACCTGAGCCAGCATTCCTGGAGTTCAAGACAAGGGCTGCAGGCATGGGCTCATGCTGGCGCCAGGCCTTGGAGGGGGTGGTTCCTGGCTTTCAGTGTCAGCAGGTGAAGAGGAGAGGGGGCTGGCTTCTCCTCCAGGGAACACTGTGGGATGGAGGAAACTCCCCTCCACCTCCCATCGTTTCCAGCCTGCTGCTGTGTCCATTTCCTGCTTCCCTCCACCCCCAACCCTTGCTAATCTCTACCTCCCTTTGACTTTGCCCTGGACTTTTCATCCCCCCGCAACTGGAGGCTCATTCTGTCTGCTTTTTCTGGTGAAACAAGGAGGAACTTCTCTGTGATTCAGAAGTGCCGGCACTTCCTCCTGCTCAGAAAGAAGTGGCGGATTAATCAGATCTATTCCTAGAGGTCACCTTTGTCACTTAATTACATTGTAGAAAATTGCTCTAGAAAAAGCCACGTGCTTCTTGGTTTGACTGTGGTTGGCAGATCATAAATACATAGTGGAGCCAAAGTATAGACCCAGGCCTAAATATTTTTTTGCAGATCTAGGAGTAGATGTCTTCCCAGTGACATGCTGTGGAATGACAGGTTTGCAATGATCTAGGACAGCGGTTCTCAAGCTGCGGTCCATGAAACATTGGCCAGAAAGCTGGTTGCTCATGGTGCACATCATGCTGGATGCAGTGCTGCGCAGCCTGCCCAATGCGGGCACCAGGGTCTGCCTCCTCCGAGGTGAGCCCGGGGGTGTGGGGGTTATCTGGAGTGGTCCCGGAGGGTGCGAGAGTACAGCCAAGTACAGCTGTAATATCCAAGGTGCAGCAAAATGCTGCCTCCTGGAGACTATGAAGATTATTAAAGTGAGCTTGAAAAAGGGCTTTGTCAAGCCCTGCTACTCAGATCCTAAAAGCAAGAGGTAATGATCAGTCAGATCGCTAAGCAGCACCTGTGGTTTTTACCCCTATTTCTGTAGCACTTAGAGGCTCCAGCATTGATCAGTCGTGGTGCTAGATGCTGTACATGCACTTGGTACAAGTCTTTGCTCTGAAGGGTTTACAGTCTACATAGACAGGACAAAGGGTGAGAAAGAGGCATGGCTCTTACCCCTATTTGAGAGATGGAGAACCGAGGCAGGGAGAGATTATTGTCTGCGATTACCCCAGACATCTGTGGGGGATGTGGAAAATGAGCTTAGGGCTCCCCAAGTTCTGACCACACTGGGGGATAGAGGTGAGCACTACGCGGAGCAAGGGACAGAACACAAGACAGCAGAGGAGACAGCCTGACGTTTCTTTAACGCTATCAAGTTTTCCATAACCTCAGCTTCTAAATTCGGAATTGCTGATGTCAAACACTTACAGCAAGGAGCAGCCAGATAGCTGGGCTGTGTCGGTGGTACTGGTAAACAGAGGTCTGGAAGGAAGGTGAATTCCTGTCTGGCAGCCAGGGAGAACTGAGAGGTGCAGAAAAGGCGGCGGAAGAGTTGAGAAGCTGCATCTTTGACAACCCAAATTCCTTCTCTTCACAAGCTAACACAATAGAGCAAGTCAACAATTAATAATCTCTTGTTATGAATTTATCACAGTTTGAATATAGTAACTCATTGTCCCAATTGGCTTTCTGTGGCTAAATACAATAAAAGAAAACGGCTTTGCATTCCACTGCCATCTCTCACCTCACCTTAGCAGCGCTCAGATGTGATTCACTGTTGAAGCAGATCCATTCTTCAGAAACGTGTCACTAATCTCCAGTTAGTAAACACTCCTGAAT